TGGTAGTCAGTTTTTAACTCTAGCTACAGGAATATTACTAATAGTTATTTATATTTCAGGTGTTGGTAGTCAGTTTTTAACTCTAGCTACAGGAATATTACTAATAGTTATTTATATTTCAGGTGTTGGTAGTCAGTTTTTAACTCTAGCTACAGGAATATTACTAATAGTTATTTATATTTCAGGTGTTGGTAGTCAGTTTTTAACTCTAGCTACAGGAATATTACTAATAGTTATTTATATTTCAGGTGTTGGTAGTCAGTTTTTAACTCTAGCTACAGGAATATTACTAATAGTTATTTATATTTCAGGTGTTGGTAGTCAGTTTTTAACTCTAGCTACAGGAATATTACTAATAGTTATTTATATTTCAGGTGTTGGTAGTCAGTTTTTAACTCTAGCTACAGGAATATTACTAATAGTTATTTATATTTCAGGTGTTGGTAGTCAGTTTTTAGCTCTAGCTACAGGAATATTACTAATAGTTATTTATATTTCAGGTGTTGGTAGTCAGTTTTTAGCTCTAGCTACAGGAATATTACTAACAGTTATTTATATTTCAGGTGTTGGTAGTCAGTTTTTAACTCTAGCTACAGGAATATTACTAATAGTTAATTATATTTCAGGTGTTGGTAGTCAGTTTTTAACTCTAGCTACAGGAATATTACTAATAGTTATTTATATTTCAGGTGTTGGTAGTCAGTTTTTAACTCTAGCTACAGGAATATTACTAATAGTTATTTATATTTCAGGTGTTGGTAGTCAGTTTTTAACTCTAGCTATAGGAATATTACTAATAGTTATTTATATTTCAGGTGTTGGTAGTCAGTTTTTAGCTCTAGCTACAGGAATATTACTAACAGTTATTTATATTTCAGGTGTTGGTAGTCAGTTTTTAACTCTAGCTACAGGAATATTACTAATAGTTATTTATATTTCAGGTGTTGGTAGTCAGTTTTTAACTCTAGCTACAGGAATATTACTAATAGTTATTTATATTTCAGGTGTTGGTAGTCAGTTTTTAACTCTAGCTACAGGAATATTATTA